AAGAAGGGACGCGCCCAGGTTATCAACGAGGGGAATGTCACCGACAGATTGATCTACTTGCGTAATTTCGTTTACTGCAATTTGTTGTAGCGGTTCCTTTTCTTTCACCCCATCAACTCTGCTTCTTGGATTTATTTGATGAGCCGTAATCCATGGATATTGTCGAACACCTACTTGTGGATATGGTATGTAGCAAACCTGTGCTGCCTGAGATGCAAGTATAAACGGATCGTACTTTCTTAACTGCTTAGTCGAGTTGATCTCTGTGACACCATACTTTGTAAGTCTAACACCTCTTCCAACTCTAGGATCATACCAGTCACACTTGAAGAGTATACATTTCAAATTTATGACTCCCGGATATTCAACCTCTAATATATCAGTAATTTCACCATAGTAGTCTATCGAATCTGTACGAACAACGACCCCATAATTCACTGTTTTTCTGTTAGTAATCCCTGGACGTTTTATGAAAACGTAGCCTCGAGTGCAATACATCGGGTATGCCATTGCCCTTGATAGAGGACCTCCAACCAACTCTTCAAACCATGTTGGATAGTGTTCCTGCCTACTTGCGGCTGATTTGATCTGCAAAACATACAAGCAAATGTACGATTTTAATAAATAGTAACCATGTTCATAATATATGTAAAATCAACGGTGAAAACTTACATAATATTTTAACCAATTAGCATATTGTGTCTGCTTCATTTCCTCTTTTCGAGCCTCTGTCATGTTTGGATACGCTCCAGACACTTGATCATCAAAGATCCTACAGACATTTGTTTTTTTGTATAAGTAATTATTTTGCAAATAATATATGCGTATTATTAAGGTATGAATTTTGTTTCTTACTTCTCGAATGGTATGACATCGTCACAGTTCCGGAGGATGTAAGTATGAATGTGATTAAATTCTTGATCTGTAAACCATACTTCTCTTTTCTTCCCACTCAGTCTCCCGATTTGAGAAAAGATATCTGGGACAGATGTATGGTAAAAAGGCTGCACACCCCCATCATCGTACCTACCTGGTTTTCTTGCTTTTGTTTGGACATTTGGAGCAAAATAGTAGGCCGAAAAATGAGAAGTCTCCTCGTTTATGCTTTGAGCTACTATTGATCCCTCAACTTTGCTAAGATTTTTAACTTTTTTCTTCAAATGGAACATAAAACGATCAAAAGGATACATCCACCGGTACTGAACTGGACCGCCTAGTGCTGCTTCACGAGGTAGATGGATAGGCAAGTGCTCCATGACATCAAAGAATGATGGGGGAAATAATTTCTCCAAATTGCAAATGATAATCGGGATATTATCTTCAAGTGTATGTAGTCCTTCGACTGTTAGAGATCTTGAACACAAATCTCTAAAAAATGCACCTATCCCTGCAATTTAATTAATAACTGTAAACAAAAAAAGAATATATACATGAATAATAACATATTAAAATAATTGAAAGATAAGTTGTTTGTACCTGCAATTGCTTCATGGACAACATTTGGTAGGAGTTGTGTAAACGCAAATGGTAGTAAACGCTGCATGAAGACGTGACAGTCATGACTTTTCATCCCAGCTAATCTACCACTGTGATCATCAACACAATATGATAGATTTGATGCATAGCCATCAGGAAATTTAACATCATCAATTATCCACTGAAAAAACTTGGTCTTCTTGCTTGCATCTAATCTCCATATAGGAATAGGACCTACTCCGTCTGCAAGCAAATGGAGATCCTCGCGCGCACATATATCGGGTAAATCCATTCTGGATTTGACATTATCTTTAGTCTTACCCGCGACATTTAAAATGGTGTTAATTATATTGTCAAAGAAATTCTTCTCGATATGCATAACGTCAAGACAGTGGCGGAGTAGATGATTTGTCCAGTACGGTAACTCCCAGAAGATACTTTTTTTATGCCAATTATGATGTTCTCCATATCCATCAATTCGGACATGGCCATTACCGCCTACCGATGCTGTACAGTCAACATCAAAATCACGAAATTGATTCAATATATAATCACCATCATACTCAGGTGGCGGTGGATCACGGATACTCTTGTTCTTGCGGAACAACATCTTACTACGACGATATGGATGATTTCGTCTTAGAAAACGACGATGACAATCAAACCAACTTGATTTCCGGCCATGTCTTAGTTGGAAGGCATCTGTATTATCTTGACAATATGGACATGACAGTCTTCCATGAGTTGTCCAACCCGATAACATGCCATATGCGGGAAAGTCACTAATAGTCCACATCAATACAGCACGCATGTTAAAATTTGTCTTTGTGGAGACATCATATACCCAAACCCCTTGGTACCATAACATTTTTAACTCTTCTATAAGCGGCTGTAGGAACACATCAAGTGAACGACGAGGGTGGTTTGGACCAGGAATCAAAATGGTTAAGAAAAGAAATTCTCTTTTCATGCAAAGGGAAGGTGGGAGATTGTAAGGGGTGACTATTACTGGCCACAAAGAATATTTTCTACCTGACTTTCCAAATGGATTGAATCCATCCGTGCATAAACCAAGATAGACATTCCTTGGTTCATTAGCAAAGACTGGATATGTAGAACAAAAATGTTTCCAAGCCGATGCATCCGATGGATGTGAAATCTCCCCGGTGAATTCATGTTCAGCGTGCCATCGCATACCCTCCGCTGTCCGATCTGACTGATACAACCTCTTCAACCTATCAGCCAAGGGCAAATACCACATACGCTTATATGGTATTTTGTTTCGCCCACTAGTAACCTGAAACCTTTCAGCACCACAGAAACGACATTGAGACATATTTACATTATCTCCCCAAAAAATCATACAATTTTCTCTACACACGTCAATCATTTGGAATGGTAAACCTAGCCCAGATACCAATTTTTGGATTGCGTTGTATGAAACTGGCGATAAATTATCTTCCGGTAGATAATCGTGGATAAAATCAGCCCACGCATCAACGCAATCTTCACTTAAATTGTAGTCTGTTTTGATGTTCATCATACGTGTTGCGGCGGATAAAGGAGAATGACCCTCTCTGCATCCTGCATATATCGGATGATTTGCAGCATCTAACATATCGAAAAATCCATGTGTTTCTAAGTTGGGTTCCTCCGCAACATTAGTATTTTCTACGTTATCATGAAATTCACCACTACCAATTCCAATTACATTATCTTCTTCCTGGTGAATATGCTCATCGCTAATTATAACGTTTTCATCTCTTCTTTCACGACTACTACTAGGACCCGATCTAAAATCCTCCCCGTGAGAAAACCATATATAATATCCTGGTGTAAAACCTCCCCAATATAAATGATTCCAAACAATGTCTTTTGCAAGAAAATGATCATTACAACATTTGACACAAGGACATGCCATAATACCTTCGATACGCGTCATTTCTTGATTAGATGCAACCTGCATGAATTCCATTAAACCTTCCTTGTACTCCTCCCCCATAGCTCCGGTCTCATCATCTAGTCGATTATTCGTCCACTCTCTAGTGTTATAACATATTATGAGAAGACATATTTTTTTCGAAGATATCTTCGGGAATCTGTTCGGAAATTTTCACCGTATTTCTTGAGTCTATGACTCTTACGTTGTCTAGTATATATCTAAAAATTTTCCGACTAACATTTTGTCGGAAATTCGTCGGAAATTCTAAAGTGGTTACCTTTAATATTTCCGACGAATTTCCGACAAAATGTCGTCGGAAATTTTGTCGGAAATTCGTCGGAAATATTAAAGGTAACAACTTTAGATTTTCCGACTAC